CTCTTCCCACCCCAGCCCCAGAGAATGGTGAAGGAGGTAAGGGGTGGTCCATGGGTGCCCTTTCTGGAGGACTCCTTTACCATACAGCCTAGGAGAGACACAGGCACCCACTCACTGCACATCTGTCAGTGTCCTGGCCCTGTGATCTCCAGTCCTCATAGCAGTCCCTTGAGGAAGGGATTGGTGTCTCCATTTTGGATGAGGAAATGGGAGAGAAAGACACTTGCCAGAGTTTCCCAGTGTAGCAGGTGACTCCTGTTCCATGTTGTCACTCCTTCAAATCAGAGAATTGCTCCGAGAATGACAGTTTTCATCTCAAGGGCAAACTCTAATCAATGGGTGGAGAGACCATGTTGAGAAGAGCTCTGAGGCCCTGTGCAGATTTCCTAGGGAGTGGTGCTGTGATTGATTGATTATGTCTGCAGGGGATATGGGTACAGGTAGAATGAAAAGGCACAGTCTTTCCATGATGTGTCTTCTACCCGTTGGGGTCTCATTTCTCTATAGAGAGTGTTTATCTTCTTAGTCTGATCTTCCCAACCAGCCATTCTGAGACCAGTGGGACCCTCATTACCATCTCAGATTCACGACTGAAGGAACTGGTCTAGAGAAGGAAAGTGACTTTCCCAGTTAGCACTGCCAGGTGCCCATGGCCCTTTGCTCTCTGTGAAGGTTTCTCCTCTCCATGGAGCTGAGGCTGGTGGGTTTTGTCAAGAGGAACTCACATTACTCATCCTTTCCCAGACCCAGCAGCCTGTTGAGAAATAGCATAGTGTGGCCTGCCTGGAAAGACTGACTCCAAGAGGGTGCTGATGAGAGCTTTGACATGCTTACTACAGGAAGGAGGAAGAAAGGGGCCAGGCCCACCTGCTGATCCCCACCCCACCAGCTCCCTGTCCGGAGGAAGGCAGGGCAGCCCACACTGTGCTCTTGCCCTGTGCTGGGATCCCCGCTAGGTGCCTTCCTTCTACCATTTTGTTTCCTCTTCATGACAAAAACTCAGGAGTCTGGATTCCTCGCTTTTATCTTCTATATCCAACCCACTAGCAAATTCCATCAGCTCCACATTCAAAGTACACCCAGATTCCACCACTTCTCACCCCCTCCACTGCCCCTGCAGTGGGTCCCTTTGTATCTGTCCTTTACATGTGAGGTGGCTGTTAATATCCCATTTTGCCAATGAGACTGAGGCTCAGAGATTGTGGCTACCCAAGATTAGAGAAAGCAGAGATGGCCATGAGGCAGCCTTTGCTACTCTCTGTTTTTTTTTTATTTATATATTTATATGAATATAAAAAAATATATATGTATATATTGTATTTATTTATTTTACTATAAGAGAGGATATGAGGAGGGATGTGAAGAGATTAAGACATGTTTAAATCACTCAAAGTTCTATCTAAAGAAAACCACTGTTGTGTTGATATATTTTCTTTTGGCCTTTCTAAAATTAGGACTTGGGTTGGGGTTTTTTAATGCATAGTTATAGTTTCCCTAGACATGTAATTTATCCTTATGATACCTAACATTATGACATCAGCCCTCTCCACGAGGTTGCAAACTCTGCTGAACATTATTTTTACCATAAGATCCCTAGGAGAGTCCACAGCCATGATGAGTGGCCAGGAAAGCCCTGGGCCCGGAGTCAGGGGTCAGTGGACAAGTGATTGCACACTCTCTTCGTCACTACAGTGAGGGATGGCACGCCCCATCTGGGTCCTCCCAGCATCAAAAGCAAAGGTCCTTTTGAACTATAAAGGGCTAGGACCCGGGCAGGAATTTTCCTCATGTTCCCTCAGTCTCCGGGGAAGTCCTGCCCTCGCAGTGGCTCCTGAGCCTTTCCTAAGGGGTTTCCTGCAGCAGTGCCAGAGCCTAGAGTCTCTGAGGCAATCCCATGATGTCACTCCTGTATGTTACCCCCAAAAGGGGACATTTCCTCTGAGCAGAACAGGTGCTTTGACTTTCTTTCTTTTTTTTCTTTTTTTATTGCTTAAAGTATTACAAAGGGTATTACATATGTGTCCTTTTTCCCCCCTGCCCTTGACAGTCCCCTAGCCTCCCCTACCCCCCAGTGTCTTATGTCCATTGGTTATGCTTATATGCATGCATACAAGTCCTTCGGTTGATCTCTTACCCCCTTCCCTCCTGCCCCCCAACCCTCCCCGGCCTTCCCGCTGCAGTTTGACAATCTGTTTGAGGCAGCTCTGCCTCTGTATCTATTATTGTTCAAAAGTTTATAATGGTCTCTATTATCCATGAATGAGTGAGATCATGTGGTATTTTTCCTTCATTGACTGGCTTATTTCACTTAGCATAATGCTCTCCAGTTCCATCCATGCCGTTGCAAATGGTAAGAGTCCCTTCCTTTTTGCAGCAGCATAGTATTCCATCGTGTAGATATACCACAGTTTTCTATTCCATTCATCTACTGATGGGCACTTAGGCTGTTTCCAGATCTTAGCTATGGTGAATTGTGCTGCTATGAACATAGGGGTGCATATATCCTTTTTGATTGGTGTTTCTGGTTTCTTGGGATATATTCCTAGAAGTGGGATCACAGGGTCAAATGGGAGTTCCATTTTCAGTTTTTTGAGGAAACTCCATACTGTCTTCCATAGTGGCTGCACCAGTCTGCATTCCCACCAGCAGTGCACGAGTGTTCCTTTTTCTCCACATCCTCTCCAGCACTTGTCGTTTGTTGATTTGTTGATGATAGCCAGTCTGACAGGTGTGAGATGGTTGTATGGGAGAACATGTGTCCAGCACTAGCACATAGTGAGGTCTGGCTCTGACTGTCAATGTCAGCGCTTTTCAAGTGAACATCCAGGCCTGGCACAGAACAGGGGCCCAGGGAGGGGTGTCCACTGTGCAGGGCTGAGCAAGGACAGCCCTGGATGACCTAAGAGTATCCCCCAGCAGTTATCTGCTAGGTCTCGTTTACAATCCTGCTCCTTTTACATCAGCTGTCCCTCCCATTGCCTCAGTCCCATTTCTATAGTGACCCAGCGATGACCACTTTGCATGCATGCATAGCTCTTCACAGTTTGGATTGCACTTCAGTGAGAGCCAATCAACTTATGTGAGGAGGGCAGGAGAAGAATTACTGCTTTGTGGTTCCCAGGACCAGGCTGAGGCCTGGAGAGGGTGGTGAGAGGCCCCCTCTCTGGAGGGGTAGCGTTTGGGCTGTGTTTGGGCTCCCGGTTACCTAAGCAGGAGCTCACGAGAGGCCATTTGGCATTTAATAGGCACCTTATATAATCACCTTTGGGAACCAAAGGGTAATCTCAGGGTATATTTTTTGTACCTGTGTTGTTTGTTCAAACCCCAGGAAGAGTGGATATGAGCAGATCAGCTTAGCAGGGAAGGTGGGGCCCGGAGTGGTAATGAAGTCCTGTGGTAAAGCTCACACAGGAGAACAAAAGGTGCCTGAAGCAAGTTAATTCTTTTCCTTTTGGTTCCAGACATTGGAGCACTCTATCCTCCCTCAGTTGGGACCAAGCCCAGGATGCACCTGGGCTGGGTTTAATCCTCAAATTGGACTCTATAATAGAAAGGGGTGGGGAAGAAGGGGGCCCCCCTGGGGGAGCAAGGGAGGAGAGCCCCACTTCATCCTGCCCCCATGCAGAGCCAGTGGGGATCAAGTAGCTGCCCCTTTAAAGTTTCATGGAGGCTGGTAATACTATCGTGCTGCTCCCTCCCCACCCACCCCAGTCTAGAAGGTGGGCAGGTCCCTGGTCCATCCCTCCCTGAAGGCCAGCGGGAGAGATGGTGGCCGTAAGACAGAGCAGGGGGGCAGAGTAGGGCTACCCCAGATGAAGAGAACTGCTGGAGTGAGGCTTTGTGCCGTCCGTCTCCCAGGCTGAGTGGTTGCTGTGTGGTGGGGTGGGATAACCACAGACTGTCCAGTTAGACGCCTTCACTGTTCAGCCCTCTTCCTCATTCTCCCGTGAGCACCACCACTGAGCTGCAGTGGGCACACACATAGGCTTTGGCAGACAGATGTGCGTGGGTGTGAGGATTGAATGTAAGAGTGTACATGTAGGGCCTGGCACCGGTGGCAGCAGCGTGCTAATTGTACAGGGACGGAAACAAGCCAGGAGAGGGACATGGCTTGCATCATAACATGTGGCTTGTATCATAACATGTGTCTGGGGAAAGCCCCTCTTGGATCTTGTCTCTCCCTGCCAGTCCTGCCAGAGGCAGCAGATGAAAATAGAGGAATTGGAACTGAGCAGACCTGGGTTCTAATCCTGCCCTACTTTTTACTAGTTCGGGGTAAACCCTTTTCCTATCTGAGCCTCTATTCCTTCATCTGTATAATGGGGGAACCAGCCCAGCTGCCTAGGTTAAAGGGAGAGCCAAAGAGGGGTAATAGCTGTGTCAGCTGGGGGTAGGGGCTTGGGACAGGTATCCCCAGAGCCCGTCTGTAAGTCTTTACAATTGAATTTGTTTATATAGATAGTTAGGTAGACATGACGATGGGCCACGTACAGAAACTCACCAGGGCAGAATTTGTCTAACGATGAGACCTCCGTTCTTGTCTTCTTGAAGGAAAGATTTGAATCAAGAGACAAAGTGTAGCAAAGTGAGTGAGAATTTATTGGCCGCAGCAAAAATATATTTAGGACAGTGAAACAAAAAGGGGCATAGGAGAAGCAACAGGAGAGTCTAGGCTGGGCTGCTTTGGCTCACTGGGAAGTCAGAGAAAAAAGGGGCTTGGAGACAGGTTCAGGGGGTTAGTCCAGGACGAGCCACTGCCGCCCACTGCTCTCTTGATTGCAAATCTCATGGGGTCCCTTAGTGGAAAGAAGGGGGAAGGAAAGGGCGTGGGCATGCTCCCCTGGGGGTCAGTGGCGTACCCGGGGTTCTTCATTCCTTACGTGTTTATTCCTCTCTTGCAGGTGGAAATCTTAGGGGAGGTCTCAGGGGAAGGCCTCGAAAGAATATTCATCAGCTTTCCAGGTATGCTCTTTCAGGGTCATGGTCTCCACTGATTGGTGGGTGGCAAGGCAGGGGGTCACTGGTCATTGCAGCTGGTCCTGAGGCAGCCACGGTGTCACTTGTCTAGTTTTGCTGCTTTTCTGGGCCTGGAGCTGAAATACAACTGAGGCCTCGATGTTATCGTAGGCAGGAAAGCTCAGGGGGTCCAAACCACAGGACCAGCGATATGCTGGGGGAGGAAGGTTACCCTGGGGACGAGGTTCTTGTCTTTCTAGTTTTGCCCCTTGCTAGGCATCCGGACTTTCTGCCCTGGTGAGCTCCTGTACCTGGCTCAGCATCCTTGCTCTGCTCTTGTTGCCTCACTATCTATATAACAGAATGAAGGCTCCTGCCTCTGGAGGATAGGCCAGGCGAGGGGGCTTAGGACTGTAGACTCATCCATCGTCACCCACAAAAGAGGTGAGGTGGGGCCAGTCCCTGCAGGGAGAGGCTCCCATCTGGGAGGCTGGTGTGTGGGTCTGGGCATGGCTCAGCCACTGCCAAACCGTGACAGTGAGCCATACTTCCTCTGCGCCATCTAGTTCCCCTCCCAGTTACTGGTGGCCATGCGTGACTTTCTGAACCTCTCCAGGTCTCAATTCCCTCTTCAGGAAGCGATGGCAATTTTTGTGATTGTGAGGGTCAAGCCAGTCTGTGTGGCAGCTGGCACAGCACCGGGCACATGCTCAGCACAGGTGAATGGAACACCCTGACCCCAACCCCTGAGCTGTGAGCCCCTCCCTATAGGGCCTGGATTGAGACCAGCCCAGGGCCCCGGAATGTCCGAGCTCTGGAGGCCAGCTAAAGAGCCATCTAGTCCAGTGGGTTTCCAGCTGGGTTCCTTAACCTCCTACGGCAGAGATGGTGAGCAGGCATGGAGGGCTCTAGGCCCCAACCCTCGCTTCAGCCAGAACAGGCCCACTTTCATCTGATAATGTTTAGGAAGGAGTTCTGCTTGCAGTTTAAAATGCACCAATCTGGTCCAGCCAGCGTGGCTCAGTGGTTGAGCGTCGACCTAGGAACCAGGAGGTCAGGATTTGATTCCCGGTCAGGGCACATGCCCAGGTTTCAGGCTCCATCCACAGTGGGGGGCGTGCAGGAGGCAGCCAATCAATGATTCTCTCTCATCATTGATGTTTCTATCTCTCCCTCTCCCTTCCTCTCTGAAATCAATAAAAATATATATATTTTAATAATCCACAAATCAGGCCTAACCCCCTTTACCATACAGATGGGGAGAGCGAGGCCTGAGAGGAATAGGAACAAGGAATTACAGGAGGAGTATTCAGGGAAAGAATTCTGGGAGGGCGGGGTGCTGGTGGTAACTTTCAGCTGTGCCTAGACACATTGGCTGGTGTCTTATGGGGCGGGATTAGTACCATCTGATATGGGGTGCCTGCAGTCAACCCTCACCTATGGCTCTCTTTCTAGCGCGACCATGCTGTGGCCCCTGCTGCTGTTGCTGTCCGTGAGCTGGGTCCAGACGACCCGGCCATGTTTCCCCGGGTGCCAGTGTGAGGTGGAGACCTTCGGCCTCTTTGACAGCTTCAGCCTGACACGAGTAGATTGCAGTGGCCTTGGCCCCCACATCGTGCCTGTGCCCATCCCTCTGGACACAGCCCACCTGGACCTGTCCTCCAACCGGCTGGAGACTGTGAACGAGTCGGTGTTGGCAGGGCCAGGCTATACCACCCTGGCCGGCCTGGATCTCAGCCATAACCTGCTCACCAGCATCTCGCCCACCGCCTTCTCCCGCCTTCGCTATCTGGAGTCGCTTGACCTCAGCCATAATGGCCTGGCAGCCCTGCCTGCAGACAGCTTCACCAGCTCGCCCCTGAGTGAGGTGAACCTCAGCTACAACCGGCTCCGTGAGGTCCCAGTGTCCGCCTTCACCACCCACGGCCAGGGCCGAGCGCTGCACGTGGACCTCTCCCACAACCACATCCACCGCCTCGTGCCCCACCCCGCTGGGGCCAGCCTGCCCACGCCCACCATTCAGAGCCTGAACCTGGCCTGGAACCGGCTCCGCACTGTGCCCAACCTCCGGGACCTGCCCCTGCGCTACCTGAGCCTGGATGGGAACCCGCTGGCCGCCATCGGCCCAGGTGCCTTCACAGGACTGGCTGGCCTGACACACCTGTCGCTGGGCAGCCTGCAGGGTCTCCCCCAACTGGCACCCTATGGTTTTCATGAGCTGCACAGCCTGCAGGTCCTAGACCTGTCAGGCAACCCCAAGCTCAAGTGGGCAGGAGCGGAGGTATTCTCGGGCCTGGGCTCACTGCAGGAGCTGGACCTGTCGGGCACAAGCCTGGTGCCCCCACCTGAGACGCTGCTCCTCCACCTCCCAGCGCTGCAGAGCGTCAGTGTGGGCCAGGGCATGAAGTGCCGGCGCCTGGTGCGGGAGGGTGCCTACCCCCGGCAGCCTGGCTCCAGCCCCAAGGTGGCTCTGCAATGCATAGACACTGGGGAACCGGCTTCCAGGGCTTCCAGAGGCCTCAGCATCTTGTGACAAATGGTGTGGCCCTGGGCCACACGACAGACTGCTGCCCGGGCTGACTCAGGTCCTGGGTAATTTATATTTTAATGTGCCAATGCCAGTGGGGACTCTGCAAGCCTGTATGGCAGCAGCATCGAAAGACAGCTGTGGACTGAGAAGAGGCTTTGGACCTGGGACAACACCCAGGAGGAAAGCCTTGCCCTTTGTCTGTATTGCCCCCACACCATAAGCAGGGGGTCTTTGATGCCAAACTACACAGCTGCCCGCTGCTGTCCTTCCCCACTCGACCCCCAAGTGCCTTCTTCCCTCAGGCCTGGGCTAACCTGACTATGACAGGAGGAAGGTCAGAGGTCAGGTCCATGGCTGAGTGCCCCTTGGGGGGTGGTCCAGCCACTCAGGGGCATGGGTTTCTTTTGCTCCAGGCACATGGGGCCCACTTTATCCTTTTCTGTTCCCCTGGAGCCCTGGGTAGAACTTTAGTTACAGAAAGGCCTGGGGGGTGCCCACCTCCTCATGTGGCCGATGGGAGAACTGGGGCTCAGAGGAAAATTGGTAATCTGAGGTACTGCCGCGGCAGAGGCATGACTGCCTCCCAGCCAGGCCCCTTTGCACTTTACTGTCTTCTCTAAATCATGGCCTCCCTCTCCCCTTTCTGGGCTCCCCTTTGCTGCCAAGACCCACATCCTACCATTGGCACCCATTTCCTGTCATCCCGGGGAGGTAGGACTCTGGCCCACTGACCAGCTGCGATGCCCGGTCTGTCACTTCACCTCTCAGAGCTTCTGGAAGCGTCAGGCATGCCAGTCCCAGCCCTGCCAGTTTCTCACTTGGGTGGGGTCCCCCAGCATCAAGACTGGAAACGTACCTATTGATCCTTGAGGCCCTGTTCCTAGATGCTCTCCCTAAGATGTTGATGCAGTCCTGGTCCTCCCCTCCCCCGCCCTGCCACAAGCCAGGACCGGCCTCCCAGATTCAGCCCCCACTGGCCCAGAGCCCACAGCCCACCTCTCCTACTATGAGTGCAGCAGGAGGAGGCAGGCAGTCCCCACCCAGTTTTATGTTCCCCCACCAGGGTGGCCTCTCAGCCTCCCAGCCCTGGCTCTTTCCTTAGGCTCATTTTATAGACTGTTGTTGCCTTTTTTATGGACTGTCACCTTTAACCTGCTCCCCACCCCCACCCCTGCTGGCAGGGGATGCAAAGTGTCATTTGTAAAAGAAAAAGAGTTGCATTTGTTCACTTTCGTAAGAGTGTGTCCTGGGGGTGTGTTGGGAAAGGAGGTGTTGGGTGGAAGCCAGCTGGCCATGTGGGCAACAGGGGGCTGGTCCCACAAAGACACCACAGGACAGTGAGAGCTCTGTCCCCCACCGGCCCCACCCGACACCTAACTAGTCCTTGGTTCAATAAACGTTAGAAAGAGTCCCTCTTTCCATCACTGTCCACTCATATTGCCTCGGCTGGCCCTGGGGCCACAAGGATGAATCAGCACCAGCCTTGCCCTGGGGAGTATGTTCTTCCTGAAAAGCCCAATAGGGGAGAGAGGTGACATGGGGGGGTTACTCGGGGGTGGGTTGCACCTACCGCAGCTTGCACCCTGTCCACCTTCCTTATCTCCCCTCTCCCATGAACTCACAGGGTTACTCTGGGACCTTGCCCTTGCCCTCCTCCCTACCTTTCAACTCCCCATGCTAATGGACCCAGTTCCTGTCTCACCTCCTTCAGAAGTTTTCCCTGAGGTCCCTCCGCCTCCCTCCTCTGAGCTCCAACAGTGCTTGGTTCCTTCCTGTCATTTCACTGCTGTGCTAACTCCTCTGTGCGCCTCCAGTGACAGGGAGCTCATTTCCAGCTCATCTGAGTGGCTCTACTGTCAGCAAATTTAGATGGATCCGGAAGGCTTCCTGGAGGAGGCTCATCCATCCACAGCTGAGTAGGACAAGTGGGCCTGGAAAGAAGGGGCTGGCACTTGGGAGGGGTTATAGGTGAGCAATGGCACAGAACCTAGAACATGCAGGTCATCGGTATGGGTGGGGAGCTTGTCCATCTTGTCACTCAACCTTCTATCCCCCCCCCCCCCCACACACACACACACAGGAACCCAAGGCTGGCACCATTGTCAATATGAAAGGGCTGAGGCATGAGGGGGGGGTGTTGTGAGAGTAAGACCCCGGCCCTTAGAGTCCTCCGATTGGTTCTCCACCCCTTCTGCATTCCCTGGATTAGAGAGATTTCAAATGCAGGGTCCGGGAAAGATCTCTGGGACTTTCACCCAATGGGTCTGGGCCCTCCCAAAGCCCTGCTTGAGGAAGGAGCACTTGAGAGAGGGACAAAGGGGTGCTGAAGGCAGGAGCGGGGGTGGGGGTGGGGGTGCTGGGGCTCCTGCAGGAGAAGAGGAGCTCTGAGGCAGGTCATCTCCGCCCTGAGCTGTAGTGGGAGGGTGCAGATGCCACCACATGGTGCAGGGCCCTCCTTCCTGTGGGGTCATTATCCTGTACCCCAGCCCTGGCCTCTGGCCTGTCAGGTGTCAGGGAGGGCAGAAGCCCTACAGGCCTCCCCGAGGCCCCTCCAGAGGCTCCCGGCCCGCGACGCCACCTTGTGGTTTTGCGCGGCCAGACACCCCAGGTCCGGGGGGGGGGGGGGGGGGGTCGTGGGAGCAAGGCCAAAGTGGCCTGTGCAGTTTGTGCAGCCTGCCTCACCTTCCCCTAGCTAGACTGCTTTCATCCTGCCGTATCTGCCCTCCTGGAATCCTGGGGTTAAGAATGGGCTCATTCAGCATGGAGGGACCTGGAGAGTATTATGCTAAGTGAAGTGAACCAGTCAGAGAAAGACAAGTATCGCATTATCTCGTATGTGGAATCTAATGAACAAAATAAACTGATGAATGGAGTGGATCCAGAGACATGGAAGCATGGAATCTCAGAGGGTGGGTGGGTGGGTGGGTGGGAAGTGATCAACCAAAGAATATGCATATATGCATAACCCATGGACACAGACAATAGGGTGGTGAAGGCCTGGGGTGGGGGTGGGGGCGGGCTAGAAGGGGTCAATGGGGGAAATAAGGGGACATATGTAATACTTTCAACAATAAAGATTTTAAAAATAAAGTTACAAAGAAAAGAATGGGGTCATTAAAATCTTACAGAATTATAGAGATAAGTGCAAAGATTCCACTGGCGTTCACAGAACAGGGTAAGATCCTGGGTCCATCCAAACCAGTTGTGTGGCTTCGACCAAGTCACCTTACCTGGACGGGCCTCGAAAGTGGGGATGAAAATGTCTCCCTCCGCAGGATTGTATGGAGAGTAAATCGAGTAACGTTTGTAAAGAACTGAGCTCGATGCGTGGCACAAAGCAGATACTCCCTAAGTGCTTGTTCTGGAACTCCCTCATTCAATCATAGGGTCATGAATTAGATTACAGAACCGTGTAGTCTTAGACTCACATTTTGATAACTGACTCAGAACTGGACAATTTCATAGAAGCTTAAAATTTAGAATTGCAGAACAATAATCCACAGGATCTTTGCTCTGTGTGCCTAACATGGAATGGGCCTTTAATGCACATGTCAGCTGAGTTTTAGAGATGGCAAAACAACTAAGATACAATTTGCCATCATGGTATAGGCTGGGTGACAAGCATTTCCTTGCATGTCATTAATAATACAGCTGCCATTTACTGAGCGCACGTTTCTCCAACTTTGTGTACATACTATCATTTCCTCCTCCTGATAACTGCCATCAGGATTATTGTCAACATACAGATGAGGAAACCAGCCTGGGCCTGGCTCCATCTGTCAGATGGTGCATCCCTCGTGCTTGCCTGTCCCACCTCAGTGGCCCGGCCAGCAGTACACAGAGAGCACAGAGATGCTCTGTGAAACCAAAGCACACTGGGATTCCATTTATTTTACTGTTGAAAACAAATTGGGGAAGTTATGCGGCTTTGCATATCTCTAATCAGATCATTATTTCTAGATCCTAGAGCATAAAAAGCCAAAGATCAAAGCCCTTGCCCTCCTAGCCCCATTTCACAGATGGGGAGAGTGAGGCCCAGAGAGGCGCAGCCTGCGAGACTCTCCGTTTCAGAACTGGTTGCATCATGTGTGGGACCCAGTACAAAATGAATATGTGGGGCCTCTTGTTCAAAAATTATTAAGAATTTCAAAATGGCAAGAGCTGAGCATTAAATCAAGTGCAGGGCCCCTCTAAGGTCCCACTGCCCATGAAGCCAGCCCTGGTGTGTTTAAATCACACCATTTCCAGAAACCGAAGGGACAATCACCCAGACAGTGTTGGGCAGAACAGCAGATGAGAGCTTGTGGCTCTGTGTGTAGCCCAATCGCTCTGTAGTCAGGGAGCCGGTTAGATCTTTAAAACCCAGGAGTTCTCCTCCGTGAGTGTTACCACACCACCTCCCGATTTTCCCCAAATTGCCATGGTCAACAGGCTTTCAGAGAGAGGGCAGATGGAGATATAGGAACTGACGCCCGCCACTTGTCTCTAAGCCAGCTCGTAGAATGTTTCCCTGAACAAGACTGCCAGAAGTCTGCCCTCTGCTCATACCTAATGTCCACCAGACAAGAGACTTCATCATAGGCTAATAGGACTTTGCCCATCGAAGCTTAATGTTATGTGTTGGCTAAGGTCTACTAGGGAGCAAATGTCCATTGACAACAAATGTTTATCAATACCTCATATTCATCGGGGGGAGGGGGGCGGGAGCGGGCAGGGAGAGGTCAATGGGGGGAAAAGGAGACATAGGCAATGTGTCAACAATAAAGAATTTTAAAAAGAATACCTCCTGTCCATCAATGACAGCTCTCATCAATGGCAGATATCCACAAAGGGAAAATGTCCAACTGTGGCAATGTCCACTACTGCTCAATATCTACCAATGCCCCGTGTTCGCAGGTGGCTTATTGCAATTATAATTGCCCTGCACATCGATAGCTAATGTCAGCCCATAGCTCAACATCTGGCAACAGCAAATAGCTACCCAGTTAAGTCCTATGCCTTGTGTTTACTCTTCATTTATTTATTTAAGTGCCAGTAGTTTTATTTATGGGGATTGTTGTGTTTCTTGAGTTAGGCAGGAAATTGTCCCTGTGTTTACTATTTAATTCCACAAGCTATTTATATTATCTTTTACACACCCGTTAGTCAAAATATCCTGAGTTAGAGATGCCAACATACATTTCTGTTTCTTGATATATACTCATGGGTATATATAGCATGTGTATGTAATTATTATATACACAATTCAGGAAAACAGAGAAAATTAAACTGGTTTGAGGACAGAAGTGTCAACCCTGAAACAATTTTCTAAATAGATGATTCTTAGAAGCAGCAGTTTTTCCAAAGCGGAGTGATGGTTTGTGGCATCAGCCCATCTGCTCAGGCAAAGAATTGACAAAGAGCCCTACTTTGTGCTGAAAAAAGCCAGGCTCCCTAATTAGGTTAAGGCACACACAACACATGGCTTCTTAAGGCAACATAACTAGTGGTTAAGATGTAGGCTCCAAAGGGAGGCTGCCTGAGCTCAAAGCCCCGAATGCTGCTTATGGCTGCGTGGCCTGGGTAAGCCACTCAACCTCTCTGAGCCTCAGTTTCCACATCTGTAAAATGGAGATAGCAGCTACTCTCAGAGTTGTTGTGGGGAATATAAGTCAATGCACATAAAACACTTAGAAGAGTGCCTGGCATATAAGTGCCACATCTATACTAATAAAAGCCTGGGTGGCCCTTGCACCCTCGTGTCATTACAAGATGGCCACCCCCATGTCGTCACAAGATGGCCGGCAGGGGAGGGCAGTTGGGGGCGACCAGGCTGGCAGGAGAAGGCAGTTGGGGGCCATCAGGCCAACAGGGGAGGGCAGTTGGGGGTGATTGGGCCAGCAGGGGAGGGCAGTTGGGGGCGATCAGGCTGGCAGGAGAGCAGTTAGGCGTCAATCAGGCTGGCAGGGGAGTGGTTAGAGGGTGATCAGGCTGGCAGGCAGAAGTAGTTAGGGGCAATCTGGCAGGCAGGCAGGTGAGTGGTTAGGAGCCAGCAGTCCCAGATTGTGAGGGGGATGTCCGACTGCTGGTTTAGGCCTGATCCTAAACCAGCAGTTGGACATCCCCCTGAGGGGTCCCAGATTGGAGAGGGTGCAGACTGGGCTGAGGGACCCCCCCCCCAAAGTGCACGAATTTCATGCACTGGGCCTCTAGTAATAAATAATACAAAATATTTTTTTTTTTTGAAAATTCTTTCTTTTGTCAAACTGACAAGCATTCTCAGGCAGGGTCTCTTCAGTGGCCACCAGTTCTCAGCATGTGACTCCATCGAAGTTGTTATGCTTAGAAATGTGTCTGAAAAGAGTTTCTACCCTCCATCCAGTACATGTCACAATTGCCTCACCATTATAGCTTCCTTCCGACCCGACACTTGTAAGGACGCAGTGCTTAGAAAATACCCTCATGGCCCTCTTCCGCAGGCCTGGCAGCCCCAGACGGAATGGCTGCCTGCTGTGGTCTAGATGCAGGGAAAGCCTCCACTCTCCCTGTCACTCTCCTCAGCAGCATCGCTCTGTTTGAAGTTCCACCTCTCCTCTTTGGCTCAACCTGTGGTTGTTGCCTGATGTCCTTGCTAGATAGGCAGGGGCCAGGACATCCAGAGCGTGATTGGGGCACAGAGACAAGTGTCTGTGTGGCAGTGGGGCATTCATTCACTAACTAATGAGGAGCCTGCCACTTTCTCCAAATGTAATAGCCCCTAAAAATGATTTTGCCCTAGCCAGTTTGGCTCAGTGGATAGAGCATCGGCCTGCGGACTGAAAGGTCCCAGGTTCGATTCCAGTCAAGGGCACATGCCAGGGTTGCAGGCTTGATCCCCGGTAGGGAGCATGCAGGAGGCAGCCGATCAATGATTCTCTCTCATCACTGATGTTTCTATCTCTCTCTCCCTCTCCCTTCCACGCTGAAATCCATAAAAATATATTTTTTCAAAAAAGACTTGAAGTTGCTATGTTAATAGGACACTTGTTAAGAATATGAGGGCAGGGGGCGACTGTGAGACCCACAGAGAAGGTGGCTGACAGATACGATCTCTTACATAAGCTGCCTTCTCCACCACCCGTGTGATACCCTGTTATCCTGGTGGCTCTCAGTGACCCCCACCTCCTAGCATTATCACCCTGCGCAGAACCCTCCTCTTGAGCCTGGGCTAGGCCTGTGATTTACTTTAATCAATCCAACATAATAGACGTGGCTCTGAGCCAGCTCCACACCTAAGTCTTTAGAAGGCCTGGCGGCTTTCACTTTTGCAATTGGAAGCTGCCATGTAGGAGTCTGGCAAGACGACGTGGAGAACCTGGGGTGAGGCCAGTCATGAGTAGGGCTAGTGAGAGCTGCTCACCTCAGGCTCTCGGGAGACAGAAACACTCAACCAGCAGGCACCCAAGAGATCTCAGACCCTGAGCCGACCCACTAGCGTAACGCACAGGAGTGAACCTGACAAAACCAGCAGAAGATGCAGCCAGCTGACCCCAGCCCCGACTGCAGAATCATGAGCAAATAAAACTGTGGTTGTGCTAAGCCATTCTGCTTTGGAGTGGCTTCTTACATGCTAACAGACAACCAACGCAACCTGGTCACCAGCCCCATGTCCTCCCCGCCCTGTTGCCCTTGCCCCACCCTCTCTGGCTCCCTTGGTAAAAGAGCTGCTAATTTTACATTGGGATGTGAGTGGCTGAAAATTCAAAATTTAAAGAAGATGCCAAATGGCAAAGCCAGACAGCCAGCGCCTCCTTGAAGATAGCCAGTCCCAAGGGACCGGGCAGAGAGGCACAGTTGAAAGCAAACACATGTCCTTGGTGTTTTAAAGTTTATGAGGTGCTACCTTCCCATGAGTTCGT